ATAAAAATCAATTCAACATAAATAACTAAACCAACAATTAACAAATTTGTTCCAAACATAAACAAAGATTAATCCAAGCTAAACTAAAACATAAGTAAAAATTAATCCAACATAAATAAAATAATTAAACCAACATAAAAAAAAAATCAGTATTTTAAAAATAAAGAAAATCAGTACCAAGAAGGGCAAGGCCGCAATAGAACCACATATGGCTTCGGCAGTCCAGATAGCAGCAAGCAGATGGCTTCGACAGTTTGGCAGCAGTAAGTAGATGGCTTTAGCAGTTTGGTAGCAGTAGGCATATGGCTTCGGCAATAGCAGACTAGTAGTGTAGTGGAGGGAATGGGATTTGAGATGGTCTAACTGGTGCAAAGGAGAAAATAAGGGGCGGCAGAAGGTGAGCACTGGGAAGGGCAAGGGTAGAATCGTAGAAGGGTGGCAATGGAATGGAGGACATTCAGATGGTACAGTCGCATAATAGAAGGAGAGGGAAAGCAGGGGAAGGTGAAAATGAAAATTGAGAAATGAATTAGGGTTAAGGTTAAATGTATGTAGGGGAATGGGTTGGGTTAATTTTTATGGATTGAGTTGGGTTGGGTTGGGTCGGGTAAAATTGGGTTATGTTTAATTTTGATTGAATTGGGTTTGAACTTGAGTTTGAGTTTGAGTTTGGGTTTGGGTTTGGGTTTGAGTTTGAAAGGTGAATTAAATTTAAAATAAAATTAATTTATATTTGTTTTAATTTTTGCGCGGGCGGGGAAAATGCTCGGGAAAAATGCTCCCATCCCCACTCCACAGGGAGGAATATTCCTTCCCGCCTCATCCTCATGACGGGGATCCCCGTGGTGCCCCACAGGGATTGGGGGAAATTGCCATCCTTATTCTGGAGTTTTGTTCAGTAGATATCGAGAGCTTTTACAAAGGGATTGGCAATGTGAAATTCGTCATGTATTTAGGGAAGCTAACATTTGTGTAGATGCGATGGTTTTGAAATTTTATCATTTGGGCAAGGGATGGCACTACTTTGCAATTCCACATGTGGTAGTTACACAAAGAATAGTGGAAGATCTCCTAGGTGTTTGTAGGTCCTGCACCTCTAGATTAAGTAGTGCATAAGTGCGCTGCCTTATATACCTAAAAACTATATTTAAAACGCAAAGAAAGCCTAAGAGTTGCTTGAATCTTCCCCTGAATAAAACATATAAAAGTGTTAGAAGTGAAAAATCTCTAAAATCAAACTTCAGAATATTGAATGAAAACCAAAGTCAAAACACAAAATATTCCCCAATTCATCCAAAAGAGGCATTTTAGTATTCTCACCTAGTTTTAACTACTAAAAATTCCTTTTTCTCCAAAGGCTAATAAGCTTGACCTTTGTCTTGCATTGCTCTTTCAAAGAATTAAGATATTTAATAAAATCAAATCTCCTAGCTATGGTTGTCAAAATTGTGTTTTGACTTGTAAAATCATATGATTTTACGATTTTAAATATGCAATTTGTGTAAAATCAAGATTAAAATTGAGATCCCATAAACTCGGAATAGTAAAATTGTAAAATCATAATAAAATCATAAAATCAAAGAAAATGAAATAAAATCGAGATTTTACAAACTTAAAAGGTTTTATAAATTTTTGTGTCATAATGTGCTCCACTAGTGCATTGGTAGAGTTGTGCATATAGACTTTTCATGGATTGTTTGGTGGTGGTTCGAATCTTGACCATGTAATTTGACATTTTTGAGTTTTCAAGCAAAAATTTTTAAGTTTTGTTAATTTTTTATAAGTTAAACTGACAATATTTTACCATAAAAAATTTTTAGGTCAAAATTATTAAAATTTAAAATAATTTAATAACTATAAACTAGAAAAATGTTCAAAAAGATTTGAAATAATTAATTAGTAATAAAATTTGTTAGATAAATTTTAAATTTAAACATTTGATGTTAAATTTTAGTAACATATAAATTTTAAATTAATTTAGTAAACTCTTGATTTTACTGATTCTGATTTTACCTCACCAAAACAATCTTTCCTAAACTTTCAATTTTGATAACCTTGCTCTAGCTATTAAGATCTTTATGCTTTCTTAGATACTAGAAATATATACTTGCATGACATTATGTATGCATGCAGGAAAGACCTTTCTTATTGAATATATTATGACTAAAAGTTGAGAAAATAAAAGGTATTAAGAAGATGAATGTATATTACCAAAGCCTCAGAAGTCTAAAGGAAACAAAATGGGGCCAAAAAATACAGCACTAATACACCAACCAATAGTTTTATTGGAATGCTAAGTACAAATCAAAATGGGAAACCAATTGTGCACAATAAATAGACTCTTAAGAAAAATTTAGTAATAGCTATGAATATTTTGATTTTAATAATAATAATAATGGAAATAACCCATCACCTGAAAAAACATAAACAAGAACTAAATTTTTGTAGTGTGATCAATTTACATTGCACTTTAAACCAACATTCAACCAAAATAAACATGCCCCATAAAATAGAAGGAAGAAGATCACATACCAGTCGAAACCGTAGATCAATTAGGAGAGGAAGAGCATTAAATAGTGTGTTTGATTGGTGGGTTTCGGCATGGAAGTGGTCTGGCAGCCATGGACCGATGGACGTTAGCGAGGAAGGGGGTAAGAATGGGATTCCAATTGTCGAGGAGAATTGAGAATTGGTTTACCGAAGATGAAAAATCCCAATATAAAGGCAACCGTGTCATTTCCATCCATCAAATATAAATATGTAAACTTTAATAAACATTTGTAATGTAAAACATATAATGTAATTTATCCATTTCCCCAACAAATAAAAACATATAATGTAAAATTTAATAAGTATTCAAGAATTGAGATAACTATGATAATTGAAAGTAAAAAGAGACAGATGTAGTGTAAAAAGGGATATTTGAATTTAATTTAGGGTTTTAATTAAAGAGTAATTTTTCATATTTATAGTATGAACACAAAATGGTTTTTAAACTAATTCTGATATAGTTTTGAATTAGTTTAAGGTTTTAAAGAATAATTTATTTAGTTCATAATGTGAATACATAGTGTGAACACGTAATATAAATATAAAGTAATTTTATGAGTTTTATTTTAATATATCTTTAAATATTTGAATAATAATTATCAATTGTTATATATTTATTACCTATTATTTATTGTAATTGAATTGTTAATTCGAACATCTGTTAAGTTAAGAGGTAATAACCTAATAACTATAACCTAAGGGAGTCGTTATTAACTCTTAGTTTCACTTTCTTTCATTTTCTTAGAATAAAATTGACGCAAAGAAACAAGTCATCCTCATGCTCTCACTCTAGTTTACAATGTTCGATAGAAATAGCCAATTCATACAACCATACAAAACCTTTTGTTCTAAATTCTTTTATATTAATTTATTTGAAAGAAGAAACAACAATGTGGATTAAATTGCATTTTTATAAAACAAAGGGGCTTGTAATTGTTTTAAATGTTTACCTAATGTTTCAATGCCACTTCCCAAGTTCCCATTAATCTGGAGAACAAGTCGTGGTTTTAGGCTCAACTACACGTTAATTTCGTGTGCCAAAAAAGGAAAAAAAAAAGTGAACGTTAATTTTCAAAAAGAGATGGGTTTAATTTTACTTGAAGTGCAAGGCTTATTTGAATATTATTTCCAAAAAATATATTTTATTTTTGGTCAATGGGAACAGCCAGCAATCAAAAACAAAATTTGTTTACAACGCTTTTCTTTTTTTTTTTTTTTAAGAAATAGTTAGGGCCGTTTCTCATTTTGTTAAAATCATACAACATTTTTTTATTAATTTAATTAATATTTTATTCATTTATAATTTTTTAAATAAATAATTATAATATT